ACTGTCCAGTCCTTCTTAGTAGGCCAATCATGATATGCCTCTGCACCTTGTCAGAGATTGCCTAAGAAACGATCCAGAGACTCAGTCAGGGCTTCCTTGAAGTCTACTTGCTTCTAAGCAAGACTCTAAGAGAAAGTTGTCTTTCTTCCTCTGGTCATCACCATCTCTGTAGGTGATGCCTAGAACTGCTGCGGCCATCTTGCTGCCAGCTCAAGAACAAAGAACCATGCACACCAGAATCACTGAGCTCTGGAGCCCACCTGCTCCTGTGTGAGATAATGTACGTCATTGTTTAAGACAGGATTGTTTGTTTCATTGGCCACTGGTAACATCCAAACTGTAGAGGTTTGTTCGTTGCCTTCTTGCAGACTTTCACAGAATACATTACATGGATGCACATTGAATGCCTCCCAGAGATGTTTATTTAGTCCTGTGGACTTGCAAATTGATGCAGTAATTTTGGAGGTTAAAATGAAATGTGAGGAACGTTGTTGGCTTTATACAGTCTGCGAAGTTTTGTCTGTATGAAGTGGCCATCGTAGTTCTGTGTGTTTAAAGAGATAAAAGGACTTTTGATCAATATTAATTTCCTCTGATTATTCTTCTCTTTGAGTTAGGAACATCTGATAATAGCAGAAAAGGAGAAGTAAGTTTTAACACATAAACCTGTGCCCATGTCCGGATTCACTGGAGTTATTCTTATGGGCACCGACACTTTAAGTTAAGAAATTTTGCCCAAGAACTTTGAATTGATTTCTTTATCCTATTCTGGGTAAGCACAGATAATTCTGGCAAAGGAGACATCTGTCTATGAGGGCGTTCAGGTGGTCAGACCCAGGGTGTATCACTTACTGCCACTCACGTTTGGTAGGCTAAGGACATTATTGTTTTATTTTGTTTTAAACAATATTTTGGTGTTTTGTCCCAATTTCTTTATCTCTGTTACCTCTTACTAAGACTTAAAGGAAAACTTTACCTCTCAATGGGGAGTGAGCAGGTAAAACGAATAGTTTGGCCAAGGCCCTGGGAAAGTGTGTGTAGTCAGGATGCACAGGAAATGGAGAGGCTGCAGTGCAGTGCAGGGGGCTTTGTGCATATTGCTCCAACTGTGGAGCCTGGAGGAGCTACCTGTGCTTTCGAAGTGCACACTGTTCTTTCTTCAAAGTTTGTAGGGAAAGGGGGACAGAGGATGTGAGATGAGTCTTCTCTCTCCAAGCTCACATCCCAACCTTGGTTTGTGGTGGGATACTGATCAAGGCTTAAAACCACCCATTCCTTTCACTCCTTTGCCCCTGCCCACAACAGTAAGCAAACAGCCCCTGCTGCCCAGATGGAAGATGGTTTCTTTTTAATTTTGGAAAAATATAGGATCTCCTTGTGTTGTGGTATCCAGAAGCATAATAAAAGAATTCTAAGAAAAAGGTTCAGGTAATTAATATTCACAGGGTTTCCACTGCTCTGCCTCCCTGTGATGTGTTATTTAAGCTTTGCAGAGACAAATTCAAATTTTCTTTTTGCCTGTTTCCTTGCTTGCTTAAAGGGGAGAGCAGGGACATGAGAAATTGTTATCAAGTGAGGACATAGAGTTTCATCGTGAAGCTTGGTGGAAATCAGTCCATTATTTATTCTTTAAAATTTTTTTTAAATTTATTTATATTTTATGCATATGAGGGTTTTGCTCACATGTATGTAAGTTCACTGTGTATGTGCAGTCCCTTCAGAGGTCGGAAGATGGTGTCAGATCCCCTGGAACTGGAGTCATGGATGTTTGTTAACTGCCATGTGGGTGCTGAGAACCATACCCAGATCCTCTGCAAGAGCAGCCGGTGCTGTTAACTGCTGAGCCATCTCTCCAGCCCCCATCATTTATTCTGAAGCAATGCACTATTTCATGCAGCACAGATGCCTTTACTGATTTTCTGGTTTCTTATATTAAGATTACACAGTAGAGAGGCAGGTGTGGCGGTGCACATTTGTGATTCTAGCACATGGGAAGCTAAGGGAGGAGGATGGAGAGTTCAAGCCTAGGCTGAGCTAGACATGGTGAGAGTCTATCTCTAAAAACAAAACCCACAAGACCCTCCAAACACTCAAAACAAGCAAACCAACCAACCAGCCAACCAAAAAGACTGTTCAGTGGAATGAACTAGAGAAACAACCTCCCCTGGTTTACCTGAAGGGTGCTGGGACGTGATGAGACCAGGGAATTCAGAGATTCATTCAGTTGTAACCAATGAATGCAGTTGCTGGCTAGAAGTAAGACTCTTTAATAATAAGATCCTAAATGCAGCTGTGAGATCAAATATGGTAAATTCTACACATACATGGCAGGAGAATGTATTATATTATTGGCTCAAAGTTAATGAGTACTTACCATGTAACTGCTGTTGTTGGTGAGGAATGAGAGTCCATATATTTTGGATATGTGCAGTCAATTCTGCTCTTTACAACTCTAAGTGAGTATTCTTTTCATTTCCTTTGTGGGGGGGGCAGGAACTGTAACTTAGGGGATTAAATTCTGAAGTCTTGCAAAAACTAAAACTAAGGTTCAGACCAAGATATGGTGGCCCTAGTCATTGTTTGATGTTGCATTTGGACACCTGAGGATGAATAAAACAAAATATAGAGCCGAAATCACTTGGTACTTAAAAAATCCCAGTGGCAACAGAAACATAGAATTTCAAAGTTTCAAAGGTCTTTTAGAGAGAGAAAGGTTTACAGAGAGAAACTGGACTCTCAGGGAGAGTATCTGACAGTTCTTAAACTGCATCACGTGGTACCTCAGAAAAAAATGTCTATTCTTATTTGAACTTTCCAGAAAGGGTCAGGTTGTTTTACAGTTTGTTGTTCATTATGAATGTCAAAGCAGGTATCTATTTTAGATTGTACTCAGTCATGAGTAATGCTTGAAGAATTACATGTTCTTGGCAGTTGGTACTGCAGATGAAACTGGGATCTAAGAACAT